CATAGTGTTCTGATAGCAATCTAGGTTCTGACATGAAGATCAATTATTTCTAATCAAACGTTGATAAGCTGTCAATGGATAAGTATTCCTTCTCTATGTTACTTTGTGTATTGCAAAATTCATTTTGTGAGTCTTGGGCTCAGGGGGAGACTCTGAACAAGCTTTAATGGAATTTTGAGTATTAACATATTCAGGGGGAACTGGTTAGCTTTACTGAATTCGTGTTCCATGGTGATTATCATGTATGAATTGTTCTATTAAAATATATGGTTTTGTCATCATAAAAAAGGGGATACTGTAAGAACAAAGTTGTTTCTACATTTGGCCTTATATTTTGATGATAACTTTACATGTTATCTTTGAGAACAATTATGTACTATAACAGGTTTCTATCTAGTGTGTGGGTTTTGATATACATGTTCTAACTCTTGTAAGAAGGTGTGTGACATTACCAGGTTCTGAACTCAACATATTAGAAGAATACCTTTGATGTGTTACAAGTTAAGTCAAGACTAAGGAATGTGTCTTATGCAACATTTCTAAGGAATGTTAGTAAAAGAGCTTCTGATCGTGACTTATTCAAGGAATCTTTGGAGGCCTTCTAAAGCTTTACTTTTGATGTTCATAGTTCTGAAGATGCTGAAGAAAAGGTTTTGTTAAACGCGTTCTGAAGTTCTGAAGACATTCTTTTAAAGATCAAGTGTTGAATACAGAGAAGGCAAGAGTTCTCTGAACAAACCCTGAAAGGTTCTAATGACTTAGGTTCTGAAAGATACTAGTTCTGATCCTTCTACAACATGCTTCGTCAACAAACATATCAGAAGCCTCTAAAGACATAGAAGACGAAGATCAAGACTAAGGAATTACGTGTGATAGTGAGTATAAAAGTACAAAAGTATATTGTGACATCTACTCTCTAGAGTGGCGCAAGGACAAACCTTTTTGTACTTTTGTCTACCAGTCTCACCATGATCGTTGGGAACAATACATCTATATTTGTATTTCCTATTCTACCCCCCAACAGATCTCTTCTTTTCAGCTATAAAAGAAGTACTTGGAAGAATTTGAAATCAACGAATCAGTTCAATGAAACTACACTAAACTGCTGCACAAAAACTCTATAGAGAAATCATTTGTATATTTTTGTAAATAAGCAAGGAGTTGTTGCTCGTATCTTGCTATCAACACTTTTGTGTTGATGTACTTAAACATTGTTTAATCTGCTTGTATAGAAGTATCTTTGTATACACATCTTTGTAGTCAACTATTGTTGATAGGTTCCTTGATAGACTCTATGTAGTCTCGATTCTCAAGAAGACTTTGACTGCGTCATAGTGGTTTACAATAAGGATCAACAGACTTATTGGGAGTTCCAATAAGGTTGATCGGACTTATTATGGTTGTTTGTAATATGGTTGATTATAGTGGATTAAGTCTTTGTGTATAAGACAAATCACCTTGCGAGGTGGACTGGAGTAACTTAGTTAATAGTGAACCAGGATAAAAATAATTGTGTTCATTTATTTTTATTCACTAGTTTTCTCTGTGTTTTGTGTTGCGAAAAGATTATATTTAGTTCAACCCAATTCAAATCCTCTCATTTCTTGTGTTTCTCGCACCTTCAACATTCATCCTGCACCATGATATCCTCCATGGAGGTAATTGGTTCCAATAGAGTTGATCAGACTTATTGTGGTTGTCTGTAATCTGGTTGATGATAGTGGATTGTCCTTGTGTATAAGACAAATCACTTTGCGAGATGAACTAAAGTAACTTAGTTAATAGTGAATCAAGATAAAAATAATTGTGTTCATCTATTTTTATTCCTTTGTTATCTTTGTGTTTTGTGCGACAAAAAATTCATTTTTAATTCAACTCAATTCAAACTCCCTCATCTTGTTTTTTGGCACCTTAGGAATAAATGATTGTTAACTCAATTTCTAAATAATAAATAATTTTTATCGTAATTTTACAATTACAAAGGAAATTAAAGTGATGAATCAAATGATCCCCCTTCTTCTCAGCTGCGCTTTCTTGGTCTACTCTGTTTTTCTCCACCTTGTTGTTATTCTCCATTAATTCTCCATAATCAACCACTTCATGAAGATTCTTACAAGGGTTCAAGGTTTTTGCTTTTTTCTTCCTCTCATTTCATTCCATGTGTTTTTATCTCCCATATTATCATTCACTTGTTACAACGTTACAATCTATAATCTGATTAGTATTTTTATTGTTGTTGTTATTGCAGTTCTAAAGTTTCGTTTTTTCCTTAAGTATGGTAAAATTGACCCTTTATACAAGAGGTTCTCATCATCATTTTCAAATGGGTCACATTTTTCTTCTTCTGAAACGAACGAGAAAGTTAATCCATTTATGGGTGATAGCTACCAAGACAATGCAAAAAAAGTTGATGGTATGAGAAAGACAATGTATGATGTATGTGGGGTTTTGGATGCTGGTCCATGGGGGCCTGCTGTGGAGGATGCGCTCAACGTGTTCGATGAAATGTCTCAACCGGAAGTGATTGTTGGAGTGATGAGGAGGGTGAAGGATATGAATGTTGCGTTTCAGTATTTTAGGTGGGTGGAGCGAAAAACTGAACAAGCTCATTGTCCTGAAGTTTACAATGCACTTCTCATGGTTATGGCTAGGACTAGAAACTTGGACTATCTGGAACAGATTCTTGAAGAAATGAGTGTGGCTGGATTTGGTCTCTCTAATCATATTTGTATAGAATTGGTTGCTAGTTTTGTCAAATCGCAGAAGCTAAGAGAAGCTTTTGGTGTTATTGAAATAATGAGGAAGTTCAAGTTTCGCCCTGCTTTTTCAGCTTACACGACACTTATTGGCGCTCTCTCTGAGGCAAACAAACCTGATCCCATGCTCACTCTCTTTCACCAAATGCAGGAGATAGGTTATGAAGCAAATGTACATCTTTTTACCACACTAGTTCGCGTGTTTGCTAGGGAGGGTCGCATTGATGCGGCTCTGTCCTTGCTGGATGAGATGAAGAGCAACTCGTTTACTGCTGACCTTGTCCTTTATAATGTATGTATAGACTGCTTTGGTAAAGTCGGTAAGGTGGATATGGCATGGAAATTCTTTCACGAGATGAAGGCACAAGGGTTGGCTCCTGACAATGTCACATATACTAGCTTGATTGGAGTTCTTTGCAAGGCTGGGAGATTGGATGAAGCAGTTGAGTTGTTTGAAGAGCTGGATCTCAACAGGAGTGTCCCTTGTGTCTATGCTTATAATACCATGATTATGGGTTATGGTTCAGCTGGAAAATTTAATGAAGCATACAGTTTGCTTGAGAGACAAAAGAGAAAGGGGTGTATACCTAGTGTTATTGCATACAATTGCATTCTAACCTGCTTAGGAAGAAAGGGTAAAGTAGAGGAAGCATTGAGGATCCACCAAGAAATGAGACAAGATGCTGCACCCAATCTTACAACGTACAATATTTTAATTGACATGCTTTGTAAAGCAGGAGAACTTGAAGCTGCTCTGAAAGTTCAGGATACCATGAAAGAGGCTGGCTTATTCCCAAATATTATGACTGTAAATATAATGATTGATCGACTATGTAAAGCTCAAAAACTTGACGAAGCTTGCTCCATATTTTTAGGATTGGATCTTAAAGTATGCACTCCCAACTCGAGAACATTTTGTTCACTTATCGATGGCTTGGGTAGATGTGGCAGGGTAGACGATGCTTATAGTCTTTATGAAAAAATGTTAGATTCTGGTCAAAATCCAAATGTAGTAGTGTATACATCTCTTATTAAGAACTTTTTTAAGTGTGGTAGGAAGGAGGATGGTCATAAAATTTACAAAGATATGGTTCATAGGGGTTGTTCTCCTGATCTGATGCTTCTTAATTCTTACATGGATTGTGTTTTCAAAGCTGCTGAAGTTGAGAAAGGTAGAGCTTTATTTGAAGAAATAAAGGCTCAGGGTTTGGTTCCTGATGTCCGGAGTTACTCGATTTTAATTCACGGTCTCGTGAAAGCAGGTTTTTCAAGAGAAACATATAAGTTGTTCTACGAGATGAAGGAACAAGGACTGCATTTGGATGTCCTTGCTTACAACACTGTAATTGATGGATTTTGCAAGTCCGGTAAGGTCGATAAAGCATACCAACTGCTGGAGGAAATGAAGACAAAGGGTCTACAACCCACTGTTGTAACTTATGGTTCTGTTGTTGATGGACTAGCTAAAATTGACAGGCTTGATGAAGCATATATGTTATTTGAAGAAGCAAAATCAATAGGTGTTGATTTAAATGTAGTCATCTACAGCAGTCTTATTGATGGGTTTGGCAAAGTGGGAAGGATTGATGAAGCGTACTTAATTTTGGAGGAGTTGATGCAGAAAGGTCTGACTCCAAACACATACACTTGGAATTGCTTACTCGATGCATTGGTGAAAGCTGAGGAAATTGATGAAGCTCAAGTCTGCTTTCAGAACATGAAAAGCTTAAAATGTCCTCCAAATGAAATGACTTACAGCATTATGATAAATGGTCTTTGTATGATTGGAAAATTTAATAAGGCTTTTGTATTTTGGCAAGAAATGCAGAAAAAAGGTTTAAAACCCAATACTATCACATACACCACAATGATAGTGGGACTTGCAAAGGCTGGAAATGTTATGGAGGCAAGAGGCCTATTTGATAGATTTAAGGCAAGTGGGGGCATACCCGATTCTGCTTGCTATAATGCTATGATGGAAGGACTAAGCAGTGCCAATAAAGCAACGGATGCATTTACAGTTTTTGAGGAAACTCGAATGAAAGGATGCCGTGTAAATAGCAAAACATGTGTTGTTCTTTTGGATGCATTGCATAAGGCTGACTGTCTTGAGCAGGCAGCAATTGTTGGTGCTGTCTTAAGGGAAATGGCAAAGTCTCAACATGCCACAAGGTTACCCTGAGAACTAATTGCATATATTGTACCGGTACCGGAATAGAAGCTTGGCTTCTTTGCAGTAAACGCATGCCTTCCAATGTCACCAGCTCTTTGATAAGTTTAATGATCCTAGCCCCACAGGAAATTCTTCCAAATTGCAACAGTTTGTCAGGCTCCATAATAATTGGAAGCATCATGGAAGTTTCATCCTACATTTCTTTCAGACTCCTGGTGAGTTTCAGCAAGTGTTTGAGAAGGACTTTTTCACACCTAACGGTTTTCCTGATAGTGAAAGATTTTAACTTCATTCATATTGTATTTCTATGTGGGCCACTATGTTTGTGGAATGTGTCTACTACAAGATTTGTAGGCAATCTTTTAATTTTATGACAATATAACTAGATATTCTATGATTATGTGAGGTCTGATAGAATATTCAATCATTATCTGTGGCCCGATTGATTCATATTCTTATGTCAACATGGTAACAGAATTGTCTATGTATATTTGAATAAGTGTTTGACAAATTTAGTGGAAAGATGTTTGAGTTTCGAAGTGAAGTGTCCACTTTCGACCGGATCATTTTGACCAACTACCATTCACCTCCAAATTTTCTCATGTGTTTTTTTGCGACTTCTCCAGTGATTCATTCTGCTGCGCTGGATTTTGATCCTCCATTTCTTTCATCACTGTTGAATTTCACACTATCAAACTAACTTATCAAGGAGATGATGAAGAGCAAAAGGTGAGGTTTCTGGGTGAGGAGTCAGGTGGCCTCTGCTCCCTATCTACAACACAGGTGCTGCCAAAACTTTTCACATCAGATTTAACTCTTTGGGATTCACTGTAGCTTATTCAGCTCTAAGTAATGCCACTTTTGGCTTTTGATTAAACAAAAATTTTATGGATTTGCTGGTTGTTTGATTGCTTGTCTGGCTTGCATGTTACTGTATGATTGTTTTTGCCAAACATTTGCAGCATTGTTCACCTTTCGCACCTGTTAGCAGTGGGAAGTTCAACCTTTCTTCTTGGACTGGCGCACCAAATGGAAAGAATGTTTAATGCTGTTCTTGTTTTTGCAACAGCCATCATCTTATCTTGGTGGTTTCCGAGTTGATGATTAGATTATGTGATACATAGCTCTGAACCAAGAAGATAAAACAAAGATGTCTCGTGAGGATTTTATGGAGTGATTTGTGGTGAAGTATGTATTGCTGATATTTGAGTATAAATGCTTGGTAAAAAAATCACATTTGAAGAACATAATCAATTTTATGATATTCTCACTGAATCAAAACAAATATACTTAATCCTTTATTCTTTTGGTTTGATGCATGAGCATGGATTTCAACACTAGTTCATATAACTTAATTGACATTGCTATGAGCATGGATTCACTGAATCAGTGGATTCTTAGCTTTCATTATTTTATTTTGAAAATATAATCCTGATTGATTTTTGAAGGCAATTATAAAAATTGACAAAAACTTGCGCACAATTTTCTTGCAGCTCAATTCAGTCTCTCACCACAAATAATCCTCAAAATAGTTCTTCAAATTAAAAAAAAAAAACACTGTTGAAACTAGAACTATCTAGTTCTGACTTCAATCAGTAATGAAAAAGAAAATTTTAGATTAAATGCATTTTATTCCTCTGCATTTATTTCCCTTTTAAAAAAAAAATTCTTTTAACCCCTCAACAAAACAAGATTTCCCCCTTTTATTTATGAATCATTCAAAAAAAATTAGATTATAGATATATTTAGAATATATTTTAAATATATGTTTATATATGTTTCATATTCTATAATAGTATTAGTATAAATGACTATTAAAGAATACTCTTTGAATCGAGCTAATTCATATTTTGACATTTTGATTGGAGATAAATTATTCTCTCTTAATTTTGACTTATTTCACAAGAAAGTTTTGAGAGACTAAATTGGGTCTATACTATATATTTTATCTTTTATTTCGGGAATTTCTTGTTACACTCTTATGAAGTGAGGCGCACCTTTAAAAATTCTTATTCGGAGATACATTTTCGAACGCACTAAATATAATTTTTTTCTTAAAATTTAGTTCGAAAATGTATCTGCGAATTTTTTTGAGGTTAATTCGGAGATACATCTTCGAACATACCCTTGAAGCCATTTTCCAACAATTTCATTTAGAAGATTTTTTTTAACTACCCAGTGATATTTTTGAAGATGTATCTCTGAAAATCTCCGGAAAATTGAATATATGATCACCTTGCATGATCATCTCTCTCACCCTTCAAACTTCCATACCCAAAAAACATTTTTAAAAAAATCATTTTCAACCAACTTTTTAATTTCAAACCAACTTTCTTACATGTTTATATCAAAGAGAGCAAAAGAAATTGCAATTTAAGGTAAAGTTCTCTCATTTCATCTCTCATTGATTGCATTAATTTCGTGTTTGAGTTGAAAAAATATGCGTTTTGTCCCAATATACATATCCGAACTCACCTATCATAATTTCGGATGTGTATATCCGAAGTATTTTGTTATTGGTTTTTAAGCATTTTCGTGTTTTGATTCTTATTAAATATGGAGCACCCTGATATGTTTCCCAAAACTATTGTATGTAACGATGTAAAATCAAACGTAGTGAAGGATAATGTTAAATCAGATGAAGTGAAGCATGATGTTAAACCAGTTGAAGTGAAGAATGAAGTTAAACGGGTTCTTGTCGATATATATATATATATATATATATATATATATGTTGGTCAACAATAGTTCAAATAGAAGACAAACATTTGTAATCATGAGATGCGAGAGAAGTGACACGTATGCTCCCTCGATTCGGAAGTTGAAACGTGATGAGACCGGAATGAGAAAATATGATTGTCCGTTTAAATTGCGTGGATATTGTAACGTGGATGATATGTGGAAATTTAATGTGATTTATGGAATACATATCCATGTCTTGCAAACAAAGTTAGTCGGTCATCCTATCGTATGTCGTCTTATATCAGAGGAAAGGAAATTGTTCTGAACATGTCTTTAACGAGAGTGACACCAAAAAATATACTTGTAGATTTGAAACAAAAACATTCGGAAGGTGTTTCAAATATCAAACAGATATACAATGCGCGTCATCGAAACAACATGGCGATAAGGGGTCCAACTTTAAACTAAAGACGGGTGAAAATTTAAATGTTATGTGGAGTGTTTTTCGCCGTTATGAATCAAATGGTCTGATTAAAGTCTATGCAAATATTCGAAGATCCGTCGAGGATATACTCATTATGTTGTAACGTCCCGCTTATAATGTTATGTAATGTTGAATTTATTTTATGACTATCTATATAATAAATTTTAATTTAATGTCAAGTTGGTGTTAGTGTTGGTTTGATTTTGAATTTGACTCTGTCGTGTTTAAGGTTTTTCTTAATTTTTTAGTATCAGGTCATGTTCGGATATATATCTTCGAACAAATCCTAAAGATATATTTCTCCGAACAAATCCTAAAAAGCCTTCGCATCTCTAAATTTAATTTAGTATAAAATAAATATTGATTTGTTTGGAGATATATCTCTAAAAATATGAAATATTTTAAAAAAATTGTTAGAGACCTTGAAAAAATATAAAAATATAACGAAAAATATATCAAAATATATAATATAAATCGAATACTTATCGAAAATGTACATTTTTTAAATAATTACAGTACTACATTTTTTAAAAGCCTTGTGAAATGTTGATTTAAATAGTTATTTTAGATATTTTATCAATATATTATAAAAGAATTATATCAAAATTTTAAATAATTACTTAAATTTGAAAATATTTTAAATAATTTTCACAAAATTATTTTTAAAATATATATATTTTTAATATTATGTGATTTAACCTATATTTTAATATGTAATAATAATAATATACATAATATATCGATAAAATACTGTAATTATTAAAAGTCTTATATATATATATATATATATATATATATATATATATATATATATATATATATATATATATATATATATATATATATATATATATATATATATATATATATATATATATATATATATATATATATATATATATATATATATATATATATATATATTAGATGTTAAAATTAATCTTTTAAAATATTTTATAAAAAATGTTTTAGAAAATATAAAAATATGTATTTTTAAAAATTTTAAACAAACTAGCCCTACAACCCATATTATTCTATTGGGTAGATTGAAAATTTTATTTTATTTATTTATTTGTTGAACTTTTTATTTAAACTTTATTTTTGCTTTAGAGTTTGGAAGGAAGTAGAAGACTGTGAAATTATATTTTCGCATAAAATAATAATAGAAATTTCATCATTATTATATTTTTAAATTTCAAAATATTACAACAACTTTTTTAAAATATATTTAAAAAATTTATGTAAATCTTTCAAACTCTTCAAAAAAATTTCCTCTAATATAAATTTTGACTTTTCCCAAATTATAAAAATTGAATGTTCAATCACATAATCACATATATACAGCCTTCAATAAAAATTGGTAGACAAAAATTGATTAAGGATCAAGACTCACCCCCTGCTACTCTAAAATACGAAATGAGACCATTCTGTAACCGACAGGTAACTTACACATGCAAAAGGATATTAACTCGGAAAACTCACAATTATTAGAGGATAATTTAGTATTTTGTTATTTGTAGATAAGTTTTTGATTAGGGCCTATGTGGCATCCTTATTTGTGTATAAATAGGTGTACTAGGTTTACATTATTAATCAATCAATTCTCCAATCATTTGTGTCAGCCTCTATTGCATTTATTCCCTTTCATCTTCTTCCTCAAATTCATCACCTTTGCACTAACAAATTGGTATCTAGAGCTCTTGGTTTGATTCTGAAACTCTGGGAAACACGAGTGATAGTGAGTTGTGTGTTTGATTTTTGATTCTTGAACAAAAATCTGAAACAGAATCACACTGATTCTGTGGGTTTGGGAAACACTGAGTGAGATCTGAGTTTTTCTGTGCAAAAGTTTAAGATGAATGGAGGCAGTAGTTTGAACACTAAACTTCCAGTTTTTTGATGGTAAAAACTGGAACAGATGGAAGATACAAATGAGTGTGCTGTTTGGTGCTCAGGATGTTCTGGACCTTGTCTCTGAAGGTTATGTTCCAGCAGCAGCAAATGCTACTGAAGAACAGAAATCAGAAGAAAAAGCTACAAGGAAGAGGGATCAGAAAGCACTGTTCTTCATCCATCAGTGTGTGGATGAAAATGTGTTTGAGAAGATTGTTGATTCGACGACGTCGAAAGGGGCATGGGATATTCTGACCAGATGTTATGGTGGTGACGTATCAGTAAAGAAGGTAAAGCTTCAGTCCCTGCGAAAACAATATGAAAATCTCAGCATGAAGAACAGTGAGAAAGTTTCTGATTACATCTCCAGATTGATTCTGATCACTAATGAAATGAAGGCTTGTGGAGAAACACTTTCTGAACAGGTAATCATAGAAAAGATTCTGAGGTCACTTACGCCTCAGTTTGATTATATTGTTGTTTCTATTGAACATTCTAAAAATCTGGAAACCATGAGAATAGAAGAGTTGCAAAGCAGTCTAGAAGCACAAGAGTTGCGTCTGACTGAAAGAACTTCTGAGAGGGAAGTGGAGCAAGCTCTGAAGGCTTCTTTTGTCAAGAAGGACCAGAAGCAGAATAGACATGGTGATAAATTCCAGAAGTCAGAAACCTCAACTTCTGATGAAAAGAAATATCAGAAGGGAAAGGAAAGGTATGACAAGAAGAAGGTTCAATGTTACTGCTGTAAACAGTTTGGGCATTTTGCCAGAGACTGTAGAAACAAAGGAAGAAAATCAGAAGAAGCAAATATAGCCAGAGAAGATTCTGATGATGAACATGTGCTACTGATGGCTTCTGATTCTGATGGAGACTGTTCAGGAGATTGGTGGTATATGGACACTGGCTGTTCAAACCACTTGACTGGGAACAAACAATGGCTGACAGACTTTGACTCCAGAAGGAGAACAAAGATCAGATGTGCTGATGATAAGTACCTTAATGCAGAAGGTATGGGTAATGTCAGAGTCAGAGTGAAGAATGGAAGAAACATTCTGATCAAAGATGTCTGGTACGTTCCTGGAATTAAAAGCAATCTGATGAGTGTGGGTCAGCTTGTTGAGAAAGGTTTTTCAGTGGTTATGAAGGACAACCTCTTGACGTTGTACGATTCTAATCAGAAGATGATTATGAAGTCTGAGCAGGGAAGCAACAGAACATTCAAAGTGAATGTAGAAACTTCTGAAGCGGAGTGTCTCAGTGCAGAAGGCGCTGAAGCAGACAGCAAGCTGTGGCACAAGAGGTTGGGGCACTTGAACTATAGAAGCTTAGGGCATCTAAGTTCTAAGAAGCTCGTACATGGCATTTCGAAGATTGTGAAGCCTCAGAAGTCATGTGAGATATGCATGAAAGGCAAGCAACCCAGATTGCCATTTGCGTCAGAAGTAGCCCCCAGAGCAAAGCATGCTCTGGGTGTAGTACATTCTGATGTGTGTGGACCATTTCCAGTACTTTCACTTGGAGGAAACAAATATTTCGTGTCTTTTGTGGATGAGTTCACAAGGATGACATGGGTAACACTCATCAAGTTCAAGCATGAAGTGTTTACTGAGTTCCAGAAATTCAAGGTGAAGGCTGAGAAGCAGAGTGGTCAGAAGCTGAAGATTCTGAGAACAGATGGTGGAGGTGAGTATAACTCTACAGAGTTCCAGAAGTTCTGTGAGGAGAATGGAATAGAACATGAGGTTACCGCTCCATATACTCCTTAGCACAACGGTCTCGCTGAAAGAAGAAACAGAACTTTGCTTGATATGACCAGAAGTATGCTGAAAGAGAAGAAGTTACCTCACATGTTATGGGGAGAAGCTGTTGCCACATCAGCGTATGTTCTGAATAGGTGTCCAACAAAGAAACTGAAGGAAACTGTTCCTTTAGAAAAATGGAATGGAGACAAGCAAAGTGTTAGCCATCTGAAGGTGTTTGGTTCTGTGTGCTACAAACACATTCCAGAGGCTAGAAGACGAAAACTGGATGATAGAAGCAAAACAATGTTACTGGTGGGGTACCACAGTACAGGTGCCTACAAGCTTTATTGTCCAGAAACCAACAAAGTTGAAATCAGCAGAGACGTCGTTGTGAAAGAGTCAGAAACATGGGATTGGAACAAGCTTCAATCAGATTCTGGTGTAGTACCAACACCAGGGTTAGTTTCTGAAGACGAGTCAGAGTCAGAAGAAGAAGACTCTGAAGATGAGTCAGAATCTCAGGGAGATTCTGATAGTGGATCTGACTCTGATCCAGATTCTGATGATGATCCAGAATCTGGTGGTGATTTTACTTCTGGAAGGGAAAACTCTGAAGACATAGGGTCTGGAGAACAAATTTCCAGAAGTGACTCTGAAGGTGGTAATTCTGAAGGAAGTAGTTCTGGACAAGGTTCAGAAGCCAGTATTGTTCCGAATTCTGGAGAACCTTCAGAACAAGACCAGAGGCCACAGAGAATCAGACGAATACCAAGTAAGTTTGCAGATTTTAGCATGTTGCATGATACTGAAGTAGATTCTGAAGGTGAAATCGTTCAGTGTGCCATGCTAGTAGATTCTGAACTAGTGGGTATTGAAGAAGCACTCAAGAAGAAAGTATGGCTGAATGCCATGAAAGAAGAACTTGAGGCAATTGAAAGAAACAAGACTTGGAAGCTGACAGAACTTCCAAAAGGCAAGAAAGCCATCAGCGTCAGATGGGTTTTCAAGCAGAAGCTAAAGCCAGATGGATCAATTGGCAAACATAAAGCGAGACTAGTGGCCAGAGGTTTTCTTCAGAAACCTGGACTAGATTATTTTGAGGTGTTTGCACCTGTAGCTAGACACGAAACAATCAGACTGGTGATTGCTTTAGCTGCAAACAGAAATTGGCCTTTGATACATCTGGATGTGAAGTCTGCATTTCTGAACGGTCCATTACAGGAAGAAGTTTATGTGTCACAACCTCCTGGATTTGTGAAAAAGAATCAGGAAGGGATGGTATACAGGTTAAGTAAAGCTCTGTATGGACTGAAGCAAGCGCCCAGAGCTTGGAATCTGAAGATTGATTCGTTTTTCAAGGAACAAGGGTTTCAGAAGTGTGAGATGGAGTATGGTGTTTACGTTCAGCACACTTCAGAAGGTAATATGATCTTGGTCTGTTTGTATGTTGATGACATATTACTCACAGGAAGTTCTGAACAAGAAACAACTGAGTTCAAGAAAGTTCTGATGAAGGCGTTTGAGATGACAGATCTTGGAAAAATGAGTTTCTTTCTAGGGATGGAACTTATATACTCTGAGAAAGGAATCATTTTACATCAGAAGAAGTATGAACTAGAGCTTCTGAAGAGATTTGAGCTAGCAAATTGCAAGATTGCTATCACACCTGCTGATACGAATCAGAAGTTGGACTCTGATTCTGATGGAGAGGATGTGGACGCTACAACCTTCAAACAGATGGTTGGTTCTCTGAGGTATTTATGCAATACCAGACCTGATATTTGTTATGCAGTTGGAATGATCAGCAGATACATGAGCAAACCAAAGTGGTCTCATTACCAAGCTGCTGTCAGGATTCTGAGGTACATAAAAGGAACTCTGAAATATGGAGTGTTATTTCCTTCTGGAGGAAAGATCAAATCAGAACTTCTGAGTTATTCTGATTCTGATTGGTGTGGAGACAGAGTCGACAGAAGAAGCACTTCTGGGTATTTATTCAAGTTTCTGGGAGGTCCAATTTCTTGGTGTTCCAAGAAACAGCCTGTTGTGGCTCTGTCAACATGTGAAGCTGAATACATTGCTGGTGCTGTAGCCGCCTGTCAAGCAGTTTGGCTTCTGAATCTGCTGCATGATCTGAAGGTTGAAGTTGAGGAACCTCTGAAGCTGATGATTGATAACAAGTCTGCAATTAATCTTGCAAAGAATCCAGTTCTACATGGCAGAAGCAAACACATTGAAACGAAGTATCACTTTCTCAGAAGTCAAGTGCAGAAAGGAGTGCTAGAAGTTCTGCACTGTAGCACTCAGAAGCAACTGGCAGATGTTCTGACCAAGGCAATAAAAACAGACCAATTTCTGCGCTTGAGAGATGAAATTGGTGTTGTTAACTTCTGATAAATTACTAAATTATGGGATGGTATTAGAGGATAATTTAGTATTTTGTTATTTGTAGATAAGTTTTTGATTAGGGCCTATGTGGCATCCTTATTTGTGTATAAATAGGTGTACTAGGTTTACATTATTAATCAATCAATTCTCCAATCATTTGTGTCAGCCTCTATTGCATTTATTCCCTTTCATCTTCTTCCTCAAATTCATCACCTTTGCACTAACAACAATCGTGGAACGCAATAAAACATTTGTATCGATTTGAGGGGAGAATTGACCTTCCCAAAAGCATAATAAATGTGTGCAACCTGTGCGCAAACCCATTTCTGGAACACACTAGATGTTAACTTGACCATGAAGTTTGGATGGTATATAAGACTCTGTCAAGAATGAAAGTGCGTGCACAGATAAAGCTTCAATCTCAAACTTCACTCCTTTCTCCAACATCATTTTGAGCTCCAACCTTCATAGAAACACTAACATTAAACACGCTATAAAATCTCAAACCAGTAGGAAAAGAAAAGGACATATATCGTGGAATGTTTATGAATATACCTCCATTGTGGGACCTCTCTTTGCAGGTAGCATCTAAGCAACATGGCTTCAATTTTTCTCTTATCTAATATGAATATCAGAGACACCAAATTTATTAGATAAAATCGGTAACTCTGCAAATATGAAGCACTACAAGTAATATCCATGGTTACCTTCAGCAGTCAAAGGAAGGAGGCACTGCTTTGGAACAAAGTATTTCTCAGAATCTGAAGGAAAAGCTCCAAGCCAGTATATCTCTGGGACACGAAGATGTTTCGTGTCATAAGCCATTTGCTAAAAGATCAGTGAGAAATGGATCAGTCAAACAGACTACGAAAAGGAAACTTGATCATTAGACAGAAATTCAATCCACTCAACAATCCAATATATTACAGGTTGGGAGTCCTGTAGCTAATGATATGCATGTTGAAGTACTTCTGATCCAATAATAAACTTGCAAATACTAACCATTGAGCCAAATTTGTAAGTGGTTAAGATATCAAAGCCATAAGGATCACAATCCACCAAGCAATAAGCAGGTATGTGCAAATTCTCAACCAAAAGCCGCAAAAACCTGTTAGAATACAAAATGCATAAAATAAAAAAACACCAAGTATGTATATTTCCAACAGTGGACACAACTAGACGGATTCATATTATGCACTACAAAAAGGCAAGCTGGCATATATGTCTTGACAGCATGATATCTTAAGAGAGTGGAAGAGATTTTTCACACCTTCTTGTAGGAATATCAGGGTAGCCTCTTCCCTGTACAAAGATAGAATTCAAACAAAGGTAGTACGGAAGCAAAATAAGCTAAGCTCTGCAGAAAATTGCTTACAGAGATGACAATGCAATGGTTTGAATTGCAGAACTGGTCATTTGCTAATCTATGGAAAACTGCAAGTTCAACGTTGACTATCTTTTCAATAGAAAGTATTAAAAAAAAAACTCAAGGTTTATCCTCATTTTCCCCATAAAATATAAAAGCATTTGTTCACCTGATTCTTTCTCAACAACTAATATGTACTGAGCAACACTCACGATATCTATGGACAAGAGTTAAGCAATGTTTATCCTCGGCTGTTGTCACTTTTTATTTAAGTTAATATGTAGAAAACATAATCAGAAGAAGAAAGCTAAACAGATGCAGGTTCACCCAGAAAATAGGATACCTTTAATTTCTTCGACATAAACCGGAATAGGGTGAGCCTGCAGAAAAGCTAAATGTCTGCATGTAATTTAACAAGTAAAAATGAATTACTACATTAAGGTTAGTTCTTACAGTGTTGGGAGAACTGATGCAGTCAAATATCTTTTTTCCTTCGACAAATCTTATCCAGCCCATAACTAACCTATAGCAGAAACAAATTTGATCCATTTAGTCTTATTTGAATAGGAGCCAGACCCACCAGCATTGAAAAATATGATTAATAACTGCTAATGCAGCAGAGATACAAATTTAAATGAGTGAATCCCACATATGGCAGCCCCGTTAATGTTTCAAGCACGGAGTAGGAAAAAGCATAATGGATTAATATTTTATCACTGACATCATTATGAATTATGATATCTAATGAAATCAATGAAACCAAGAGAAGATCTCAGAATTCCAAAGAAATGAAATAAAAACTATGTATCATTTAAAGTTCATAACTTTTAGATGCATCAGGGCAGGGATTCAAAGCATCGGTAGTGATACTATGTTTATATAAAATTGTACAGTGTACACATCACAAAAAAGTATCCTGAGTGAAAATAAAACTATCATAATTATTCATATAAAACAAATTCTGACAGGAAAGTGCATTTCCCATTGAGTGTGATCTCATTAAGTACCCATTCCCGGCAGAAACCTACAAAAATTAAAATGAAAATACGTGGTCAGCTTGCTATTTGAAAAGAGTATTGCAGCAAGAGAAGCATGGCATAAAACTTATATCAAGTTTTTAATCACCAAATATAAGAGAACCAAAAGAAAAGAAAAACAGAAATAAATTGAGAAAAAAATCTACCACATTGAGGTTATGGCGACTGCACTGCATAAGGACACATATATCATTAATAGCATGGTCCACAACTGATTGGTCTGCAATACGAAAATAAATAGAAGAGTACATGAAAAGGAAGTCAGTATCTGCCAAAAACGAAATAAACCTTTACCCTACAAATAAAGTTCATCTTTCAAGAACTAACAATATAGCAACCACGCCACCAACTTTAACCAATCCCATGTATAAGATTATGATAAATTAAGCCTGAATACAATGAAGAATCTAAATATAATATTTCCACAAAAAATTGTCATAAGACATCCCAGTAATTCATGACAGTCATTACCACGGACACCAAACATTGATACTGAGTCATCGACACGGACACTGACGCGCATTTTTTCAGAGGTGTCAAGTGCTACAGAGGTTATTACCGATTGAAAATGAATAAAATATCAACTATATGATCCATGTTGCAAAATTCAGAAGACTCACCCAAAAACACAGACGGATGCATGTAATAAATATCTCTCTTGGAACTATGTTTGTTCTCTTGCAAAAGCTTCTGAACAATCAGCAGAACTCTCAACATGACATCTAAAAGCAACAAAACAAAAACTCAAAACCTAGAGAACAATAACACAACAGAACAATGAGCAAATTCAGTTTACTCAATGACCTAGTCTGTGAACGTGCGTTTCCTTGCAAAGTGTGAGAACTTCCTTGTCACACGGCAAATTGGAACTACAGAAACTGCATTGAAGAACAGAGAAGTTAAAAACACAAATGACGAATGATGAAGAATGCGATCGGATAAATAAGATTGAGAGAGAGTTCGGATTCGAAAGGAATTAACCAGATGGAATCTGGAAGGGTGCAGTGATTTCTGAATCGATCGATGAGAATGATCGGTGAGTGTTTGTTGCTGAGATTCACCAATAAACCTCGAGTGAATTCTGAGTTAAGAAACGAATGAGTTTGAAATTTTAGGTTTAGGAAAATTAGATGTATGATTTTTGTGAAGAAGATGAAGATGAAGAAGAAGAAGAACCTTTGATTTTGGTGAGTAGAATCGCGCTTTCTGGTTGTGATTCTGATATCATCGACTTTCCCTCCATTTCTCGTCAATCTTCTACTTCCCGTTTCTATTTCAAAGTTGATCAAGTTTTATGCAAACGCGCGCGCAAATTATTGACGATTCCTTTGTTTCTACCTTACTTACACTTTGTTTGGATTCTATGGAAATTGAATGGAATTGAGTGGTACTCTATTCTTTGAATTATTTAAAATCGGATGGAACTGATATGAATTCAATTTCATTCGATCACTTATTCATATTTTTCTTCTCCTCCGATTTGGAGGGAATGAAAAATTTATCTTGTTTCGTCTTAAAATTTTTCCTTCTTTCATTTGTTCCATTCCACTCATTTTCATTTGTTTATTTTATGCTATTCAAATATAACTTTAGTAATATCAATTAGACATGTAAAATATACAAATCAAATCAAAAGTTTATTAAATGTGGAAAATCAATTCCCTATGGTATTTTTTTTTTACCTTTTTAATGTCAGTCTTTTTTTATAACTTTTTAGATAGAATCTTCTAGTCTAATCCAATTTAATAGATATACAACTTAATCGTCGAAATATATGATTTTATCTAAGTGAGTCATGCAGTTCAATCAATAACTTTTTGTTTCGCCCATCGATCTCTTGATCACGTGACTCTATCGAATTTTAAAATATTGGTCTTACTAACTTTTAATTCGGTTAATAATAAACGCACAATAGCAATAACAATAACAATAAAAAATTCAAACATATATTGATGAATTTCTGAATTCAATCATATTTGATATAATAATATTGCCATTTTTCAGTTTAGGTATAACATACTGAAATAAATGAAAAACATAGGTCTATTAGTATATATGTCTAATGCCTTACACAGGATAGCAATCTATTTGTTACTCACAACACAACTTTTTGAAATTAGAGTTACATTGCAAATCTAAAACCAAATGAAATGGAATTAAGTCAACACCAAGTTATTCATTAGCAAGTAAAATCACTTGTTTGCCACTACTCTTGCCAGTGAACATTGCTTCTAATGCAGCTGGTCCACTCTCAATGCAGCTATATCTTCAACGTATGTTATCTTCCCTTCCCTAATATAAGGCAAAATTGTCTCCAAAAACTTTGGATATAAATGATAGTAATCATATACTGTGAATGCGTCTACTTTGATTTGCTTATATACAATGTTGACCAAGTTTTTAATCCCCTGAGGTTCATCAAGTTCATACTGCGAGATCATTCCGGCCACCACAATTCAACCGAGCCGTCTCATGTTAACAAGTGCTGCTTCAAGCATGTCTCCACCAACATTGTCAAAATATATGTCAATCCCGTCAGGAAAGTATCTGTCAACAATTAAAAACAGAACACAAAAATTGTATATGTTAAGCATTAAGTACAAGATAATTAGTTTTTGAATAACTAAGCTAAATACTAGTTATGCACTTACTTCTTCAATGTTGCATCTAGGTCTTGTAACTCCTTGTAATTAAAAGCCTCATCAAACCCAAACTTGCTCTTCAAAATGTCAACCTTATTTACATATGAAAACAAAACAATCAATTGTGATCTCAATACATCTCTGAGCAAACTTGTGTCGGGTGTCTGACACATGTGACTGCATGTGATTTATTTATTTTTTTCAAATTATTATCACTTTCAAGGTCATCTCTAGTGAGTGCTTATAGAGTATAATTATATTTGTTAACAGTACCACATATAATATAAGACTTGAACATCTGCTTATAAGAAAGAACAATCCTCACTCTACAACAACAACTACGCCTTATTCCACTAGGTGGGGTCGGCTACATGGATCAATTTTTGCCATAATGTTCTATCAAGGACCATGCTTTTATCCAAATCATTAATTTCGAGATCCTTCTTGATAACTTCTCTTATAGTCTTTTTGGGTCTTCCTCTTCCTCGAATTGTTTGTCTTCTCTCCACCTGGTCTACTCTCCTTACTACAGAGTCTACAGGTCTTCTCTCTACATACCCAAATCACCTAAGTCTATTTTCCACCATCTTCTCTACAATAGGTGCTACTCCAGCACTCTCTCTAATAATTTCATTTCTAATTTTATCCCGTCGAGTCTTACCACACATCCACCGCAGCATCCTCATCTCCGCTACACCTATTTTATTCTCATGTTGGTTCTTAACCGCCCAACATTCTGTTCCGTACAAAATCGCAGATCTTACTGCAGTCCGATAAAACTTTCCCTTTAACTTGAGTGGTACCTTTGCATCACATAAAACACCTGATGCCTCACTCTACAAAATGTTTTTGTATGAATGAATTAGGCCCAACCACATTTTTTGTCACTGTATTAAGAGTCTCGTTTAAGATCCCGTAGGCCACCTGTTATCAGGTTTTCGTGATTGGGCCACCCACCATTTATTTACGTCCTCTAGGTGTCCAATTCTGGGCGTGAGGAGTGTGTTAAGAGACTCACATCAGACAATATATAACATCAAAATGTGTTTGTAAGTGAGGACAATCTTCACCCTACAAATCTGTTTTGAATTAATTACTCTTGTCAAATAAAAATGCAAATTTGTACCTTATATTTCCAACAATTTTGCTAATTGACCAACAAGTTGACCAACAGCACCAAATGCTGAAGAGATAAAAACATAATCTCCTTTCTTAGGAAAACCAACTTCATAGAAACCTGCATAAGCAGTCATACCGGGCATACCTACACATATATGTGCATATAATTAACATAACATCTAGTTATTATTATATACTTCTCATGCATATATAATATTGCAACTAACTAAGAGTAAAAGTCTCAAACAATTTACCAAGCAATCCTGTATAATAGGAAAGAGGTACATCAGTATGCTCAATTTTGATAAAACTATCAGTTTTTGTAATGATGCTATACTCTTCCCATTTGGTGAATCCCCAAACCAAATCTCCTTTTTTGAAATTTGGATGTTTAGAATCCAACACTTTGCATACTCCATATCCAACAACTGGCTGAAATAAACATTTTAACATCACAAAATTAATTCTTTAGAGGAGACAACATATGTAATGAATCCTTATATGTACTTACTGAATCAGGAGAGAGGGAAGAAAAGAGGCTATTTCTGTCTGTTCTTTTGCTTCCTCTCATGTAAGGATCACAAGATAAAACAAGATTCTTAACCGACACAGATTCTGAAGCAGCGTCTAAAGGAAGTTGTAAGGTAATGGTAGAGTTTTTCAAATGCATGTCTGTTTGTTTTGGATTACCAGTTATGTAACCTGAAGCTAGAATCTGTTTGTTGCTCACTTGTTATCCACTTGTGCCATTTTTTTGGCTTTGTAGAAGCTCTATTCCTAGTTGTTGTGCAGATATTTGAGGCTGCTTCTTTTGCCTGTGTATTTATAGTCATAGAATGAGAATAATTTATTTTAATTGACTTGAGTTTTATTTTGGTCATCAAAATATCTGGCTCATTGATTGTGATCAGATATTGTTAGTATTGTTGTTAAATTAGACTTGTTGTCTTGTAGTGTTGTTGCTCACATACGTCACTGCCTACTTCATTAGAAATAATTAAGACAGAGAAATATAAACAACTTTTAAGTCAGATACGAAATTACACAACAATTGGTGTGCACTTCCTATAGGATAGCGAGTACAACTTAGCTCACACGTGGTTGCATATGGTTTATTCCTTCCTTAGCAAGAAAAATTATAAACTTAAGCATAAACATATACCATAGTAACCAGTCTCAACAAATTTATAATCATAAACTAATAAACTTGCTCATTTCTTTTGAAAATTGGAGAGTATGCTTCCTCTATAAATACATGCATGGACTTAATTTATGGAAACTCTTAACAACTGTGCATTGAAAATAGAAAGGGTAGAAGACAACATAGCATGACAGGAACATCTCTGTATTTCTCTGCTATATAACGACTTGGTTTCATCCAGTCAACAACAATAAAGCACCCTAAATTCTAAAGCAAAGATTTATTCACAGTGCAAAATAGACATAAGTAGCACCTTCAACTATGCAATCTCAGGTTACTCAACCAAGTGAGGATTGAGGTTTGATCCAGAAAGAAAAATTGCATCACAAAAGAGAGAGAAACCATAAAATTGGCAAAACATCTTACACTACAACCAGGCAACAGTTCATTCTATGATTCTAAGTTCCTTAGGATCGAAGGTAACATAACATTATGGGTATTAAATCAATTACAAAAGACTAAAGCACCCGGTATGTGTAACTAGACATCTCTGAGCAACAGGCAGGTATATGTTCGCGGTTGCTTTGCAGGTATATGTTCACTGCTGCTTTGCTCGCTTACGTGCCAGAAAACGCTCTTTTGCTGCAGCCACAGCATCTTGACTTCTTTTGTGATGCTCCGGATTTGGCTGTGAAGCTGATGGCTCCTCAACTGCACTTTTTTCTTCTGAAGAAGCTGCAAGATTTGGCTTCATATCCAAGGGACTGGCACTTCTATTAGAAAGATGGGAAGTTTCACCCTGATCGCCAATCTTTTTCCCTGAAGACTCTGCCGGTGAAGTTTCCTTAGCCAATGAATGTTCTTCATCGGTATTACCATCCTGCTGCTGATTTGATGCATCAGGGTTCATTTCCTCATGTGTCTCTGGAACTCTATTTTCGGCCTGACTGTCACGCTTTCTCCTTTGAGCATCTTTTGCACCATAAGCAACATTTTTATCAAGGTTTGTATAAAAGTCAACCAAAAAGTTCTTTTTCTTCGTAACCTATGCAAATAATTAAAACAAAATATGTCAGCAATTTAAATATAGAAATAGGAATTCAACCATAAACAAGAATACCAAATAAATTGAAAAAAATCGAGGGAGAAAGAAAGGAAAACAATAGATCATTTTAAAATCCATCACCAATCAGATTGGCAACAAGAAGAGATATGAAAACAATAAGTATAATTGGATTAATTAAAAAAAGCAGGAACATACATCCTCTCTTTCCTCTTGAAGTTCCCGTAGACGTTCGAGTTCCATCTGTTGCTCTCGCTCAGCAAGCTTTTTTCTATATGCTTCTGTGATATATTTGTCTTTGTCAGCAAAGAGATGATCGTCTTTGCTTCTCTCCTTGGCAATCTTTTTCTCATACACAATCTCACGATACTGCTCTCGCTCTTTTGCTTTCTGAATTAGGTTTTGAATATATTTTGGCTGCAACAAATGATTAAAGTTTAATGAGTAACAATGTTATTTTACAAATGACCCAAAATGAAAAAATTTGAGTATTAGCCTTCAAGAATGTTAAACTGAACTATTGGAAAGGAACAGACACATGACTACTTTCACTACTTTCATCCCTCTCTAAACCAATGAAAACATTTTTTTCATCAAAAAGAAAACAAAACAAAGAGAAAGATACGGTCAACTTTACTAGGATCCGTCATTTAAGTATGTGAATATGCACCTTCTATCACAAATCACATACAACAACTAAGCCTTATCCCACTAAGTGGGGTCGGCTACAAGGATCAACTTTCGCCATAATGTTCTATCAATGACATCTCGAGATCTTTCTTAATAACTTCTTTTATAGTCTTTCTAGGTCTTCCTCTTCCTCTAGTTGTTTGACTTCTCTTCATCTGATCTACTCTCCTTACCACATGATCTATATGTCTTTTCTCTACATACCAACACCAAGTCTATTTTCCACCATCTTCTCTATTATAGGCGCTACCCCAACACTCTCTCTGATATTTTCATTTCTAACTTTATCTTGCCGAGTCTTATCACACATGCACCGTAACATCCACGTCTTTGTTACACTTACTTTATTATCGTGCTGATTCTTATGAGACATATAATTATTATGAAACTTGGCATTGGTTGTCCTTTATTATTCTCTACTGAGCTATAATCATAATAAAATGGTTGGCAGAAATTTGAAAACAATGCTAAGAACTGTAACAGTACCTTTCTCTCTTCACGATCTTGTATCAATGGACGGGAAACTTTCTCTTTCATTTTGTCATAGACCCCATCATAGTCAAATATGGTCGGATCTTCTTCCAACGCTTTCTTTTGTTGCTCCTCGACCTTAAAGGGAAAAAAAAGAAGAAAAAAAAAACAACAGACAGCAAGATCATAATCTGTACAAATAAATAAAATATTCATAACAACCTCGACATGATTAAAATGTAAGGTCAACAACGTACATCCTTGAGACTTCTACTCTTGCTAGCCTGGATAGCAATTTCTCTCTCTACATTATTATCATCATCTTCATTGAAGCCAAAAGGAAGGGCGATTGAAGGCTTTGGAAGCTGTTTTTTCGGCTTAGCGGGCCTGAGATTCAAGCCATACTTGCTCATTTGAACCAGCTTCTTCTTCACTGCAATTTGAACACAACATGAAGCTATCATTGCTTGTATCATTCCAATTTTATTTGTATGAAAGCAACTAGCTTCAATCCTTGAAGAAATATACGAAGACTAAAATAACAACAATAAGCCAGCAACTAGCAGTAGATGTGCATTCAAGCATCAGATTATAAGTAGCAACCAAGTATGTGGCCAAATTAGGGTAAAATAATGCGGCAGATGAAAAGGGAGTGATGCTAACCAGCGAAGCACGGACACAAAAAATAAAAACAACCAGTCGAAAATTGAAAAGATATCGTGAAAAATAGAAGAAACTTACCTCGAACTGCTACAAAAAGCGATTCAGCAAGAAAGCCACAATATTTCCAAAAGAAGGGTGGAGAAATCGACGGATTTGAGTTTGATTGGTGGGATAGAGATTATCTGAGAGCGGAGCCGATGGAGAAGAGTACGCAGGAGCTCGGCAATGGCGGAAGAGAAAACCTAGAAATCATAGACAGGAAAAAGGGGGCAAATAAGGATATACTTATTGTACACGAAAGAAACGAAGACAGTTGTACTGTTTTTATTGGGCTTAGTTTTTTTTCGTACCTACTGTTGAGTATATATCCTGCAGTTTCGTGATGATACATTCGTACACTATTCTGTGAGGGTGGTGATTGAACTAATCAAAACTCTTCGTTTTAGATGGGTCATTTATATATATTTTTTTGTCTAAATTAAATTAAATTACTCTCATATAATAGTCAAATGAATTCAAACTTTAATTTTTTTAAATTTAAATGCAGATTTCTTATTTTTTATATTTTAAAAATTAAAACTTTCTTTTATTCGTTTTGGTCGATAGATTAATAGGGAAAATGTTTTTTTTTATCTTTAAGGGGTATTATATACTTCTGAAATTCAAAAATACTTTTAATGTATTCTAATGTTTTTATTCGAACGCATCAAAAATCACACAAATCTTAGTATTTTTGCATTATCGAGGACTCGCAGTCTCGTGAAATAGATGTCTGAGAGAGGCGGCTACGAGAAACGTAATTAGATGGTTGGGAACCTCGACGATACGAACCTTCAAATGAGTTATCATTGACTTATGGCCTCATGGTCTTGATTGCGGCCCTCTCACACCGTACTTACGTGGTTTGGAACACACGACCGAGCCTAATTCAGTCAGGGTTATTTTCAGTCACTGCACCTGTGTTACAAACAAACACGGATAAAAACAACATGTCAGGACAAATCCACAAAAACCACAAAATCAACCAAATTTCAGAATGTGACAAATTTGGAGATATAACTACGAAAATAGAACTGAGAAAATTCTGAGATGCATCTTTGGAAAAAAATGTGATTCTCAATTATGACAAAAATGTCATTGTTGCCCTAATCCTCCAAACAAATGTCAATGTGTATCCTTGTATGCTACATGTTTCCTTTCCACTACTATCTAATGTACCTTAAACAATTAATGTAGTATAAACAACTAACTATAAATCAAAACATAAAAAGAGAAATAATTTTATAAAACTTACCAAATCAAATTGATGAGATGGAAAAGTTTGAATCTATGAGATGCTGCAAAGGAAAAACTTATCACCCACCAATTTTTGAATAAATGATGTTTACGGAGATGCATCTTCGAACTTACCTTTTATGCATATTGAGATACATCTTCAGATTAAATTTTGGCATAATAGGGTGCCTCATCAATTTGCTCTGAGGAATAACTAAAAAAAGATTCATACAGAGATGCATCTCCGGATTAAATGTCATAATATGGTGCCTCATCAATTTGCTCTAAGGAATGGTTAAAAAAAGGTGCGTACAAAGATGCATCTCCGGACATTAGGGACAATTGTGACTTTTCACGGTGGTGGGGGAGCACACATAAGGGTGAAAAGAGCAATCCCCTTAATATATTGATGACTTAAAGCAATGGATCTTTTCTAGGATGTTTGTGAGGCCCATAATAAAAGGCCCAAAAAATAAATCTCTAGTTAAATGGTGCACATAATAAATATACTTTTGTTTGGTCAGAAGCAGACAATATCATACTTCACGCCATTAATTACTGTCTAATTCAGTTGGACAGTTGCATGCATAACACGTCATACCAAACGTGAACAGTTTCAACCATTCTTAATATATAAGGGTAAAATGTGTCATCTTAGGTATTTAAATATATTCTCACTCACACATTTCCTTTGATTTCTCTCACTAATATGGGTGTTGAGTGTTAACCATGCAGGTCCGCCCTCTCTCCATTGCATCAGAAATACAGATCCACTGCAACAAGACACAACTTCATTATCTAACCTTTCATTTCTAGTTCCTAACCGAACATTGGCGCCATCTGAAGAATTGAGTTTTGATTCAAGTGAATTTTCATACTCATATTTCTTCTGATCTAAATGTTTAGATCGTTGGTCCTCTTTCTTGAAATTTTTACCTTTTTCTCAAACACATTTTCCCCGTAGTCTGTTTATTCCAATTGAACGTTTGAAAATGATTTGTTTGGATATGCTTGAATATGTAGTGGGTATATACTATTATGTGGTAATTCTCTTGCAGATACACATATGAGCTATCAATATGGTGGGCTTGTGGGGCCTGACAATACATACAATCACTTGGATACTCATCTGAATTATCACTATTATGGGATTGTGTGGCCATGTATGCCTCCACACTTGGTTACTCACCTCTAGCAGGTTTGTGCAGCCACATAGGCGTAATTCACTTGGTTACTCGGTAGTGTTTTCGCCCAGTGGACTCGTGCAGTCATATAGGTCTTTTTGTACTTGCCATTAACACGCATGTGTATCTATGATTGATAAGGTCGTTACCCCATATAGACAATGTCACTTTGTTACTCATAACAGATGGGATCATGTATCCACTTGGGCGTAATTTGTAACACCCTTCTAACCCACATATGTTTTCTTGCTCCATTTTATTTCGAATAAATGAGATATCATAATTGATAAAAGAACATGTATAAGGCATTGTAAGTGTGAGAGGTTCCGAGTTCAAACCCCACCTCGCGCACTTTTTGACATTTTTCTCTTTTTATTTCCTTTATTTCAAACTTTATTAACATTATTGTTAAATCACAAAAAATATAAAAAAGGTATTTTTTTCATTATTTAAATTCAATTTTCGTTTTTTGTTTTAGACATTTTTTTAAAATATTATTTTTTATTTTAAATTATCATTTTATGTATTTTATAGCTTAAAAATCCAAAAAAAAAATGTTTTTAAATTTAATTTGTTATTTAGTGCACTTTTTATATCTTCATGGACAAGCAAATAATTTTAGAGAAGATTTTAATGTGATTGATAAAATGTGCCAAGAAATCAAAATTAAATTAAATTAGATTTAATTTTTAGTTACTATTGATTAAATTACCTTTTTATTTTAACTTAAAATTTACACTTTAAATAGATACACACAGAGACCACAAATGAGGGAGGTTAACTCTAACCTATAAACTCTTGTTCTCATATTATACACAGAACTTTTTTTCAATCTGGTCTTGGTACATTCTTTCACTTCCCTGCACCTAGTCCTTTTCTTTCACGTAAATATCACCACCATCCTCGCCTTTTGTTTTCAAAAGAAAACTATTACTACCATCCACATATTTCCACTCAAACTACAAAGAACCATGTCCTTTTAACTTGAAATTTTAAGTCATCCCTACAATACCTTCATAAATCATCAATAATTATAACAATTCATAGCCTTCACCGTATAACTACATTGTCAAACCAACAAATCACCGTATAACGACAACATTCACTTAATACAATTTCCAATCACCATTGTCAAACCCAACACAACAAATCAAAAAATTCATAATACAAAGTGATGGAAACAATGACATAATTCGGAACAGGGGAAATCAGAAAATCAAATCAGAAGAAATTCTAAATAAATCTCGGTGGTAAACCTTACAACATTTGATGACGCACACAACCACACAAACATCAATCTATTAAAGAGTATTTTAGTATTTCTAGTTGTTTTGATAAGTTAGTCATTAAGTCTATTCTATTAAGGCTTATGTGACATTCATTTTCTTTGTGTATAAATAGACTAGTTGTAAATGTCATAAACAACAACATTTTATTCCTCTTGTGCACTAACAAATTGGTATTTAGAGTTGTGGTTCTGATCCACAGGAAAACACGAGTGAAACATGAGCGTTTGTGTGATTGATTTTGGTTCTGGGTTCGTGTTGAATCTTTGAACAAAATTGTAACAGAAACACTTTTTTTTCCTGATTCTGTGGGATTGAGAAACACTGTGCTTGTGAGATCTGAATGAGTTGTACAAGGTTAAGGATGAATGAAAACGGTAGTCTGAGTACCAAACATCCTGTTTTTGATGGCAAGAACCGAAACAGATGGATGATTCAGATGCGTGTGTTGTTCAGTGCTCAATATGTTCTTGAGCTTGTTATCGAAGGTTATGTTCTAGTTGCATAAAACGCAACGGGAGAGCAAAGAAACGCATAGAAAGATAAGAGGAAGAAATATCACAAGGCGTTATTCTTCATTGATTAGTGTGTGGATGAGAATGTGTTTGAGAAGGTGACGCATCAGTGAAAAAGGTGAAACTTCAGTCCCTACGAAAGCAATATGAGAATATCAACATGAAGAATAATGAGAAGATTTATAAGTACATCTCTAGAATGATTCTGATCACTAATGAGACGAAAGTTTATGGATAAACCCTTTATGAAAAGGTAATCATTGAGAAGATATTGAAGTCACTTATTCCTCAATTTGATTACATTGTTGTAGGAATTGAACATTCTAGAGATTTGGAAACCATGAGAATAGAAGAGCTGCAAAGAGTTTAGAGGTGCATGAGTTACGATTGACTGAAAGAACTTCTGAGAAGGAAGTTGAGCAAGCTCTGAAGGCTTATTTTGTTAAGAATGACCAGAAGCATTCTTAGTCAGAAACCAAGAATAGACGTG